GGAGGGGGGGGGCAGGGGAAAGAGGATGTTTGGGTTTGGAATGTTTAAGAAAAGGGGGGTGTTTAAAAAAAAAAAAGTTAGTTTATGAGGGTTTTTACAAAGCAAAGTGTTTAAATAAAGCAGAAATTTTGGAAGTAAAAGAAAGGTAAAAGAGAGGGGTTTGAGAGAGTGCAAAAGGAGAGCGTGAAAAATTTGGGAGAGGCACTGCCCAAAAAAAATTTTAAGAAAAAAAAAAAAAAATTTGGGGTGATTTAAAAACAAGCTAAGAACCCTGGGGAAAGAAATGGTTTTTGTCATTTAAAAAACAGAGTGGGGGAGTTATTAATGGGGGAGGGGAAAGGTATAGGTAATGGCGAGAATTTTTTGAGGAATTTTTAAAAAATTGTTGAGGAAAAAAGGGGAAAGGTGGAAATTTTCAGGGCACGGGCCCAGGGAGGTTTTTACCACCCTTTTTAGGATTTAAGAAAGCAGAATGTAAGTGTGGTGGAGATTTGTGGGGCATTACGTAGAATAAAGGGGGGGTTTTAAAGCAGTTTGGAAAACTGAGGGGAATCTTGCAGAAATGAAAAAACCCGGGGGGGATATAGTGTTGGAGTGGTTGGAAATTTTTGTTTAATAAATGTATGAAAGGGGGGAAAGGTCCCTAGGGATTGGGGGAGGGGCATGTATAGCCCCTTTTTATATAAAGGGAAAGGGGACAAAAGAGATTGTAAAAATTAAGAGGAATAAGTTATGATTTATACCAGGAAAAGTATAGGGTAGGGTTATAATTGAAAGAATTAGGGGTTAAGACAGAATGTGGGATTGGGGAAAATGACAGGGGGCCCTTCAGAGTGGGTAGGAGATGTGTAGATCAAGTTTTTTACTTTGAAGCATATATGTGAACGAAATTTAGAAAAGGAAAGGGAAGTTTTTTTTTAAAAATTTAGGGGTTTTAGAAAAGGATTTTGATAGATTTGGATGGGGAAAGCAATGGGGCCCAGATTTTGCAAGTATAGGGGAAAGGGTTTGGTAATTACTAAATGCTGTAAAGAGTTTTTTATGAGGATGTGGGGCTCAGGTTAGGGTGTGTAGAAGAGGGGGAAAATTTTTTTCCCCGGTTTAAAAAGTGGGTTTCTTAAAAGGGTGTGAAAATGTCACCATGGTTGTTTAATATTTTTATAGATGGGGTTGAAAGAATTTAAATGCTGGGTTTTCCCGGGAGAGGGGTGGGTTTAAATTATGGGGAATCAAATTCAAAATGGAATTGACACAGTTCTTTTTTCTGATGATACGTGCTTTTTTGGAGAATTTTAAAGAAAAAATTGCAAAAAGGTTTGTGGGAAAGAGTTTGAGAATGTTTTTAAAGGGGAGAAAGTTTAAAATGAAAAATAAAGAAAAGAGAAAGGGGATGAAAGGGGTTTAAATGTTTTAGATAAAAAAAAAAAATTGGGTATCAAATTGGGGAGGAGGGATGTTAGAAGTGAATGTTTTTAGTATTGAGATTTTAGTTTTCGGCGGATGGGGTTTATGAAGGTGAGATTTAAACAAGAACTGATGAGGGGGAAAAAAGGGGAGTGGTGGTTAGGTATATGTGGAGTCAAAAAAAAGTTTTTTGGAGGCAAAAAGGGAATTAAAGAAAAATATAGTTGTACCAACACTCTTAAAATGGGTGTGAAGCTTGGGTGGTAAAAGCAGCAGGAGGGGGGACCCGGTTTTGGGGGCAGTGGAGATTTTCCCCGGGCTAAAAGGGGAAAGTGTTGGGGGGTAAATATTTAAGCAGAAAATTCTGATGTGGAAAATTTGGAGAAGGTTGGAAATTAATAAAAGGGATTTTGTCAGAGGGGAGAAGAGGGGTTTGTTTAGGGGGGTTTGGGTCATTTAGAGGAATGGATCAAAGTGAATACATGGGAAAGCATTTTAAATCTAATTGGGGGAAAGGAAAAGGGGGGGTAGGGGTCGTCCCCGAAAAGGGGTTTGGGAAAAAAAGGGGGGAAAGGGGGTTTTTTGGGCAGGGGGTTGGACTTCCAGCAAGCGTGCATGAGCGTGTTTGGAAATGAAAAATTTTTTTGGGGGCGAAAGATACTTGGGACCCCGACGATCTGTTTGGGGTGTGAGCAGGGTAAAATTTTGTGAAGGGATTCAGGGGAAAACCGGGGTTAAAGTTTTTTTAGTCGGCCCCTTTTTTCCCGGAAATGGGAAGTACAAAGCCTGCACTTTAAAGGGGGGGTTTGGGGGTATTTTGGGGTTGGAGGGATAGTTTTTTGTATCTTTAACGTTATTGCTTTTAAGGTTGTATTTTGAGCACTTCTGGCCCAAAAGGGGTGGGTTTTGTGTGGGGGTGTGGCGAAAATGTTGAATGATGATAAAGTAAATTTTTTTTTTTGGGGATTTTCTTTCTTTTTTTGGGGCACCCTGGGCCCGGTGGGGGCGGCCCCAATTGTTTTTAAAAAAAAAAAAAAAAAAAAAATTTATTTATATTTATTTTTTTTTTTTTTCAAAAAAGTCGGCCCTTCCCACCGAGGCAGGTGACCCAAAAAAATAAAAAAAAATCCCCCAAAAAAAAAATACTTTCATCAAACATTCAACCCCTTTTACCACACTCGCACATTATCAAATGTTTTTTCAGAGGTGCTCAAATAAACAGTCTAGAAGCATTTCCCCTATAAAGGGTACAAAAAAATCCCCCCAAAAATGCCAATAAACCCCAAAAACCCTCCTTTAAAGTGAGGCATTGTACTTCCATTTTTAGGACTCAAGTCCGACCCATTTGAAAATAACCGGTTTCCCCGAACCCTTCACTAAATAAAATTTCCCCGCTTTACACTCCCAAAAGATCGTCCCGGTTTCCCCAAATACCATTCGGGCTCCATTCACTCCTATCTAACACGCTTACGCACGCGATAAAGTTTTAATTTCAGTTTAAATTTGGGAAAAAAACTTGAAATAAAATTAAAACCATTAAATAAAGCATTAGAAAAATGGACAAAAAAATTTCCCAAAGCTTATTTTTTCATGTAAGAGAATTTTTTAAACCCTTCCCCAAATTTATTTTCAAAAGTTGAGAAAGTAAATATCAACAAATCCCTGGTCCCACAGGAATATAATTGAAACTTGTTTCATAAAAAAAGTTTTTACAATAATATTTAAAAATTTCCTTTTGGGTTTTTATAAATTAGGGTCCATTTTTAATTAATAGAATTTGGAAAAAATTTAAAATAAAACGGGGCAAAAAGCTTGGGGGGGGAGTTGTGCAAAGGGCCCATCCCCGTTGGCTCGCCGCGGTCACGTGTTTAAAAAAGTTGGGGATCTGTAGTGAGGGGCTGGCCGGACCCCTTTTATAGCTTCCCCTTTGGGTGCTTCACTTTCATAGTTCCTTGATAATGTGAGTAGTCACGAAAGCGCTTGGAATTTCTCTATTCTTTCAGAGTGGTTGTTTTGCATATATATATATATATATATATATATATATATATTAATATATATATATATATATATATTATATATATATATATTATATATATATATTATTATATTTTTTTTTCAACAAGTTGGCCGTCTCCCACCGAGGCAGGGTGACCCAAAAAAGAAAGAAAATCCCCAAAAAGAAAATACTTTCATCATCATTCAACACTTTCGCCACACTCACACATTATCACTGCTTTTGCAGAGGTGCTCAGAATACAACAGTTTAGAAGCATATACGTATAAAGATACACAACATATCCCTCCAAACTGCCAATATCCCAAACCCCTCCTTTAAAGTGCAGGCATTGTACTTCCCATTTCCAGGACTCAAGTCCGACTATATGAAAGTAACCGGTTTCCCTGAATCCCTTCACTAAATATTACCCTGCTCACACTCCAACAGATCGTTAGGTCCCAAGTATCATTTGTCTCCATTCACTCCTATCTAACACGCCACCGAGGCGGGGTGGCCCAACAGGAAAAACGAAAGTTTCTCCTTTTACATTTAGTAATATATACAGGAGACGGGGTTACTAGCCCCTTGCTCCTGGCATTTTAGTTGCCTCTTACAACACGCATGGCTTACGGAGGAAGAATTCTGATCCACTTCCCCATGAAGGTAAGAGGAAATAAACAACAAGAACTAGTAAGAAAACCCAGAGGGGTGTGTATATATATGCTTGTACATGTATGTGTAGTGTGACCTAAGTGTAAGTAGAAGTAGCAAGATGTACCTAAAACCTTGCATGTTCATGAGACAGAATAATGGACACCAGCAATCCTACCATCATGTAAAACAATTACAGGCTTTTGTTTTACACTCGCTTGGCAGGACGGTAGTACCTCCCTGGGCGGTTGCTGTCTACCAACCTACTACCTAGAATATATATACATATATATATACATATATATACATATATATATACATACATATATATATACATATATATATACACCTACCATCCGACTTACGACCTGCTCGACGTATGACCATTCGACTTACGACCTGCTCGACGTATGACCATTCGACTTACGACCGTGTTTTGTATGCCAAATTTCTGGGAAATAAACAACTGTTTGTGTTGTACACAGTGTTTACCCCAAACCTTACTGTATAAAATACAGTACTAACAGCATAAAAAGTAAAGTAAAAAATGAAATACCAAAAAAAAGACAGTAAAATAAAGTCATTACAAAAATGTGGTGTTGATATTCAGTAGTAAGGTTTGACTTATGTCCATTTCGACTTACGACCGGTTGGTCAAAACCGAACTCGGTCGTAAGTCGGATGGTACCTGTAATATATATATTTATTCTTTCAACAAACCGGCCATATCCCACCAAGGTAGGGTGACCCAAAAAGAAAAAAAAAGTTTCTCTTTCTAACTTTAGTAATGTATACAGGAGAAGGGGTTACAAGTCCCTTGCTCCCATCATTTTAGTCGCCTCTTATGACATGCATGGCTTACGGAGGAAGAATTCTGTTCCACTTTCCCATGGTGTGCAATATAATCACAGTAAACAGGTGATATCACCACTGAAAAACAGTGAAATTCCAAGCACTTTTGTGATTGCTCACATTATCAAGTTTATAATGTGAGAAACCAATCAATCAAGTTTATTCTCTGTAAGATTACAAAGCGCAGTTTACATATTATAGGATATTGGTTACAATGTGTGGTTTACATATTATAAAATACTTATTACAGAGGGGGCCACTATCACGTCTAACATGACTAGGCATTTCAGGCACACTAAGATTAACTCAAACTCTATATTGGTACAGATTATGGAGCATGTTGATATTAAGGCTAGGTAACTGCATTACATTTTGTAAATTTAGCAATGTGAATGGTTTTGTCTTGATACGATACATAGTTTCTATTGGAGTATCTCGAGCAAACTTATGACTAGTTTAAGATTCATTCGGTAATAGTTTTATTACATATTTCTATGTTTACAGTCAATTGGGTGAGTGTAAGTGTAAATTGTGGGGAATCACAGATATCAAAAGTTGGTCTAGGTTGATTTTCCTGTGTGTATGATACAAGAGAATAGGTGGTTATGTAGTTAGTTGATGGTGGGGTGTATCAGGGAGATCAGATTAGAGTTTTCAGGTAGGGTGTTCCAGATTTTAGGTCCTTTTATGTACATTGAATTTTTGTATAGGTTTAGCTGGACATGGGGAATGTCATAGAGATTTTTTGTGCCTGGTGTTGTGCCTGTGGGTCCTGTCAACTATAAAGAAAATGTTTTAGTTCTGGGTTAATATTGGAATTTAAGGTTCTGTAAATGTAGGTCGCACAGTAGTAAGTGTGGCTGTTCTGTACAGTAAGTTTAGATCTTTGAAGAGTGGAGGGATGGGGTGTTGCCTGGGATTGGATTGCGTGATTATTCTTACTGCAGCTTTTTGTTGGGTTATTGGCTTTAGGTGTGTTGCTGCTGTTGATCCCCAGGCACAAATAGCATAGGTGAGGTAGGGATAGACGAGTGAATAGTATAGTGTGAGTAGGGCTGATTGTGACATGTAGTAATGTATCTTGGAGAGGATCCCAACTGTTTTGGATACTTATTTTGTTATGTGTTGGGTATGGGTGCTGAAATTCAGGTTGCTGTCGAGGTGTAGGCCTAGGAATTTGCCCTCATTATGTTTGGCAATAAGAGTGTTGTCAATCTTAAGTTGTGCAACACCTGCTCTGTTACCAAACATAATATAAAAGATTTTGTCAGTGTTAAGTGTAAGTTTGTTGGCTGTCATCCAAGTAGATATTTTAAGTAGCTCCTCATTAACAATGGCATTGAGTGTGGCAAGATTTGGGTGGGAGATGACAAATCATGTCATCAGCAAAGAGAATGGGTTTCAGGTGTTGTGAGACATTGGGAAGATCATTGATGTATAAGAGGAAGAGCAGGGGACCAAGGACACTTCCCTGTGGCACGTGGCACTCCAGTATCAAGTGGCCATGTTGATGAGGTTGTGTCTTTAATGGTGACATACTGATACCTATTAGTAAGGTAGGATTTGAAATATGCAAGTGCATGGCCTCTTATACCATAATGGTCAGGTTTGTGGAGCAGGATGCCATGGTCTACTGTCAAAAGCTTTTCTTAGGTCAATAAAAAAGCACTTGGAATTCCACTATTTTTTCACAATGGTTGTTCTGCATGTGAATATGCACACATGCATGCACACATACACACACACACACATATATATATATATACATGTATATATAATCACCTGAAATGCCTAACTTTCTTGAGGAGGGTTCTCTTGACATTAACCTTCCTTCAGTGACTAGTGTACCTTTTATGTGCCTAGGATTTGAAATAAGCTGAGGAAGGGTAATACTGTACCTCCTAGACTGTGGAAAGAGAGAGAGAGATTAACGCTAGAATTGGCTTGTGTTCCTGCTCGCTTGTAAGGCGAGCCACATCATAAAAACTGTGCATTTTAACTGGTTAATATATAATATTTAGATGGTTCTGCAGTGGGTCATGTGCTTATTGGTCGCCCCACTTATACTAAATAATATATGCATTAGTGACTTTTTATCGTCAAATATATATACTGTACAATTCTTTAGAATAGGTGAAAATAATTTTTAATTACAGCAATGTGCTTTATTATGCTAGTTTTCCCCTCAAGGAAGGTTCCTTGATGCTGGTGAGGGGCTCTTGATTTAGGGAATTGGATCTGTGCTCCAGTTCCCCGAATTAAGCCTGAATGCCTTCCACATCCCCTCCCCCAGGCGCTGTATAATCCTCCGGGTTTAGCGCTTCCCCCTTGATTATAATAATAATATGCTAGTTTTACAGACTTAAAATTGGTAAGAGAGACTATCCACATGAGTCAAATGAATCTGAAGTTTTTCCTAATGTCAAAATTTATTAAGATTGTTTTAAGTGTTTCTTTTCAGGAAGGGTCAGAATTGTATCTTGAGAAAAGCTCACGTGAAAACCTCATGTTTACTGCCAGGCTATGGCCAATATACACCTTGTAATATTAGCATACTAACCTACTGTAATTCCATTATATTCTGTGAAATCTAGACAAAAACATTAATATGACATACAATAATATATTACGTAATGAGTCGCTCCACCTTTAAAAAATAAGCTGTTAGCATACCGTGGTTGGTACAATACTGTGCTTGGTACAGTACCGTGACTGCAAGAATATCTACACTTTGGAGAAGAAACTTCAGGCAACACTTGTTTCATCCTGGAGCATTATTAAGTTAAAACTGACTTGATAATGGTGTAGAAAGAGCTGGGGGTTAAAGTTTCGCCTCCAGAGCTATGGAAATTTCTTTACCTGTTAGGTAAAGTATGTCCGTTTTGCTGCAAAATTAACCCTTCAGCTGTCCAAACATAGATCTACATTTTTGTGCATAGCAGGTCCGACCTTGATTTTCTCCATTTGAAAGCATGTAAAAAAAAAAAAAAAAAACGTACCTCTATGTTCGGACAGTTTAAGGGTTAATACCTGGCACATGTAAAAACATTTTATAACGTGAGTAAATATTTTCCTTGGAAGGAGAGCGAATCTTTACATAATCCAAATAACTTATCATCCCTAGGTAAGTTGATATTCCATTGACGATAAGAGCAGTAAGCCCTTATCAGTGGGTTACTAGAGGTTGAGGCTATACATTGTAGTAGGTTCGCTGGTCTTGTCTCGGCCCGGGTCTTTTCCAGGTGGTGACCCGGCGTACCTATAAGATTGAGCCCTGCATTATGGTAGGTCAAGGCTATAAGAATGAGCACCATGTTATGGTAAGTCGAAACTACACAAATACAGGAGTCATGATGGGAGTCGAAAAAGCGACTTCGCGCATCATGCTATTGTCAGTATTCCTGAAGTCCTGAGGCCTCCAGCACAGGAGGCTCTCCAGAAACCAGATGATTGGCGTAAAGACGAAGAGTGCTAAGAAGATGACAAGGATGGCAAGGAAGGCGACTGGTTGGTTATGACCCACCAAGGACATGGAGCTTACATATGCCAGCAAGAAGGAGTACACCACGATGTATATACTGCAAAGAGGAGGACTGAGATTAACACACTATTTGTGGTTCACGTGATTTGCTATTTATGTGTACAGTGGACCCTTGGCTATCGGCAGTAATTCATTCCAGAAGGCCGGCCTAAATCTGAAATGGCCGATGACCAAAATAATTATTCCTATAAGAATTGATGTAAATACAATTAATCTGTTCCAGACACCCAAAAATATTCACAAAAAATGCATTTTTTAGAGATTATAGTTTTACATACACAAAGCAATGAGAACTAAGAGAAATAAATACATGAACAATTAAATCAGTATTACATACCTTTATTGATGACTGTTGTTGGCTTATGGAAGATAGAGAGGAGAGTTTATTAAGGACTTCAGGTATCAAAGCCCTATCTGGGGTTACTTCCCTTCTTTGTATTTTAATTATTATAATCAGAAAGAAGTGCTAAACCACAAGGGTTATACAGCACTGCAGGGCAGGGAAGGATGTGAGGGTATCAGGTAGCAAGAGGGAGAGGGATGATTAATAGGTTATGGAGTACAGTGGGGATAGTGCAGGGGTAGAGGGTAGCAAGAGACTGAGGTAGAAAGGACTGAGGGGAGTGCTAAAGGTATCATCATCAGAGTTTGTGGAGTAAATCAGTTGCTGTCAAAAAGTCAGTGAGAGAGTCCAGATTAAAGGAGGGTCCTTCAGCAAGAAGGGAAGGTAAAGAAAGAGCAGCAGAGGGGAGACGACGACGTGGGTAAATTCTGCGTGCTCGTTGATAGAGTGGGCAGTCCAACAGAATCTGGCTAACAGATACTGGAACCACCTGACAATCATCTCAGAGAGGAACAAGGCACCTTTCCATGAGATACCCGTGAGTAAGACAAATGTGGCTGATGCTAAGACGGGAGAGAGTAGTCTCCCAACATTGATGCTGATGACAAGAAGATGGCCAGTAACCTATACTCGGTTTAATAGGATGAAGTTTGTTATAGAGCAGATCACACCAGTGTTGTTGCCAATGGGTGCGAAGGTGGGTAGCAATTACAGCAAAATAGTCCGTGAATGGAACACCTCTATATGATACTGGGAAGTCATGTACTGCTGACTGCGCAGCAGTGTCTGCCTGTTCATTGCCCTGTATATCAACATGACCAGGGACCTAACAAAAAATGATATCTTTGTGCTTGGTAGAGATACGGCGTAACCAAAGTTGGATACGGAGAACTAGAGGGCGAGGTGTATAAAATTTTCGTATAGCCTGTAAAGCACTAAGGGAGTCTGAAACCACCACAAATGGTGATACAGGCATAGATGCAATATGGATAAGTGCTGCAAGAATGGCATACAATTCAACAGTAAAAATGCTAGCCGAGGATAGTAAATGCCCTCGCACGATACTGTCCCGAAACACTGCTGCGAATCCGACACCGTCAGAAGACTTAGAACCATCTGTGTACACTGCAGTGGCATGAACATGAGAGTGGAAGTGGTCAAGAAAAACAGAGTGGGAAACTACCATAGGCAGTTGGGCTTTCACACATGGCAGTAAGAAAGAAGAGACATGAACAGCTGGAACTTCCCAAGGGGGTAGGGAAAAGTGAGATGCTACATGAACATAGAAAGGTGGTAACTGAAGGGAAGACAAGAGTGAATGTAGGCAAAGAGAAAAGAGATGGCGTAAACAGGGGCTACGAACAAATAATGTCTACTAACATCAGTGACTATTCTATATATGGAAGGAGTGCGGAGATCACAAGAGTGAACATAATAGCGAAGGCAATGAGCATCACGGCGATTGGACAAGGATGGAGTATTCGCTTCTGCATAGAGACACTCAACAGGTGAAGAGCGAAAAGCGTGAAGAGCGAAAAGCACCAAGGCATAAATGAAATCCCTGGTGATGGATGAGATTAAGGTTAGAGAGAGTAGCAGGAGAGGCCACCAAATAGATCTGATCACCATAGAGTTTTGATAAAATTAGGGCTGAATGTAGGCGAAGGAGAGTTCTACGATCAGCTCCCCATGAAAGATGAGCAAGGGTTTTAAGAAGGTTCAGCCGGCTGTGACAAGTTGCCTTCAGAGAGGTAATGTGAGGTTTCTAGGTTAACCTACATTATTATTATAATCAAAAAGAAGCGCTAAGCCACAAGGACTATACAGGGGTTAACCTACAGTCAAACAGATGGCCTAGAAACAATGGATGATCAGAGATGACAAAGTCTATTGAAAGTAATTTGGCGAGTTTTAGTACTGGAAAATTCAAACTCATGCGTGGTGGCCCAGTTGGAAACACAGTTGACCACATGCTGGAGAGAAACTGTAATGAGGTGACAGTCAGTGGCTGCACAAGCTATAGCGAAGTCATCAACATAGAGATGACCAAATATTGGATGGAAGAAGAAAGGCCAAATCATTTATAGCAAGGATAAAACGTGTTGTGCTCAGAACACATCCCTGAGGGACACCTTCAGCTTGGACAAAGTCCGGGGAGAACATATTAACCTGAACACAGAAATGTCTGTCAGGAAGCTCTTAAAGAAGGATGGTAGATTGCCTCGGAGGCCTAGGGAGTGGGCTTGGGCCAAATATTATACCTCCAAGTGGTGTCATATGCCTTCTCAAGGTAAAAAAATATGGCAATAACCGAGTGGTTATTCGCAAAGGCAATACAAACATACATATCCAAGCATAGTAAGGGGTCAATTGTAGAACGGCCCATACGAAAGCCATATTGACTATTGGAGAGACTGTTGTGTGTCTTTAAATACCACATTAAATGTCGATTTACTAGACATTCCATCACCTTGCAAACTGCACTGGTAAGAGCAATGGGATGATAGTGGGAGGCATCGTGTCCCGTAGTACCCAGTTTGCGGAAAGGGGGAACTATGGCAGATTTCCACAGCTGGGGAAGAACTTGTGACCAAATAAAATTAGTCGTAAGAGGACTGCAAGGGACGACTAATGTAAATGTTGTAACATTTGAATATGAATGCCGTCAGGCCCAGCAGCTGATGATGGGCAAGCTGTGTGTGTTGCCTCCAGTTCCAAAAGTGTAAAAGGTACATTATAAGATTCCTTCTTTGAGAGAAGAAAAGTCTAAGGGCGCTAGCTCTCTGGCAGACTTTGAGGAAAAAAACGAGGGGCATAGATGGAGCACTAGAGAAATACAGACCAGATGATTACCAATTTCAATGGCAATGTCAAGAGGGTTTTCTATATCAACATTGGCAACCCACAGAACAGGAGCCAGGTCGGGAGAGTACTACAAAGTTTATGTACTTGTTTCCAGACTGCACTCAGAGGAAGCAGAGGTGATGGTGGAAACAATCTCGCCAGCAAGTGCATTTAGCATCACGGATGACATGGCAAGTGACCACTCACCTCTGCTTAAAGTCAAGAAGTCTCTCTGTGGTTCTAATGTACCGGTACCTGCCCCATGCAGCGTATTTCAAACGTACTGCCCGGGCACAAGCAGGAGACCACCAAGGCACACACTTCTGAGAATGCCTGCCTGAGGTTTGGAATGTAGAATGAGAAGCTGCGGTTAAAACTGAGGTCGAGAATAGGTGTAAAAGCTCATTAATGGGACGAAGAAGGAACCTCACTAAAAGTAGTTAACTGCGAGTAAAGGTCCTAATTTGCTCGATCAAATTGCCAGCGTGGGCTACGAAGAGGTGGTGAATATGAAGGAGAAGTAAGAATGATTGGAAAATGATTGCTGTCATGCAAGTCCGAGAGGATAGACCAGGTGAAGTCTAGTGCAGAGGAGGAAGAGCAGACTGAGAGATCGATGCAAGAGAGAGTAAGAGTATGAGGATCAAAATGGGTGGAAGTACCCTTATTTAAAACATGGAGGGGGCAAGAAGAGAGAAAAGCCTTTAACTGAATGCCACAGGAGTCACAGTGAGACCCCCCAGAGGAAATGGTGGGCATTAAAATTGCCAAGTAACAGAAGTGGTAGCAGTAAGGACGAAACAAGAAAGGTAACATCTAGGATAGATAATGCCTGAGAAGGAGAGAGATACGAAGAACAGATTGTATACCACTTATTCAAGTGGATATGGGCTGCAGTGTAATGGAGTGAAGTATGAACAAATAACTGACAGTATGGAATATCAGTGCATATAAGAAGGGCACTTTCATTAAAAGTTCCATCAGAAAAAGGATCCGAAGAATACAATAAATCATAGCCCGAGATGAGATGGATAACAGCGGAGTGTAATTTTGGTTCTTGTAAGCAAACACCAGCAGGGATAAACCAGGAGAGCAACATCTGAAGCTCACCCTGATTACCTCTGAGGCCGCGAATATTCCACTGTAAATAGGCCATGATTGGTAATGAGAAAGATACAAGAAATCTGCAGGTAAAGGTATCTACGGACTAGAGGGGTTAGAAAAGTCCACATGTGGCGGCAGCAGGAAATGTGGAGGTAGAAGGGAAGGAGGGGTTAAAGGAGATTTGAGCAATGGGGATTTTTTGGACTTCCGAGAAGTAGAGGAGCGATGGGGAGGTGTTGTATGAGGTCTTGTCGTTACCGGGACTTGTGAGGGAGAATATGAAGAGAGAACAGACCGAGGTGTTGAAGTAGGGGCTTCTGAGTGGAGGACAGCTAAAGAATTAGACAGGAGTGACTGTGGAAGGGGAGGCTGCAGAAGATGGGACCCCGGAGATGGAGGGACATTTAGAAACACGAGAATAATAAATACGGGGTAGTCTCCCTTGGGGGCGTAGATGAGAAACTGCCATAGCATAGGGGAAACCTTCTGCCTCGTTGAAGCAATGGATTTCTCGCTCATTTAAGTAAACTTAGCAATGGTGACAGTAAGATGGATGAGCCTCATGACAATTAAGGCAAGAGGGAGATAGACTACAAGATGTATTGGAATGGTCATCGGCACCACAGACTGGGCATTCGGCTATAGACCTGCAGTATTTCGCTGGATGACCAAAACGCCAGCAATTTCTACACTGTTGCAGTGTAGGGATCACCTTTCTAACTTGTAAATGATCTGCTATATAAACA